AGAACACCTAAATTACAAGGTTTAAAATATACTTGTATGTAGGGGTGTTTACCCTACCTTACGGGTAGGAAATATGATCTTCCGTCTTCCTACCCGATACTTTACGGAAAATTTTTTTCTTGGCCTACCTTACCCGACAGGTGTGGTATTCCTACCCGATTAACGGGTAGGAAATCGGATAAATATTTTTGTAACAATTAATTTTTGGATCATTTTAACAATTTAATTAAATAACATTCACCAATTTAACAACACTATAAATCAATTAACACTAAAATCTAAAACAACTACAACAAGAATTATAATAAAGCACAAGAAAATACGAACATCAATTCACCATAATTGTTACACAAATACAATAACAATTAATTTAAGTTTGAACTTTAAATCATATGAAATACATTAAAATTATAATTGTTCCGCATGTGGTTAGGGTTTAGGGTTTTTTTAGTTTTTATATATATATATTAAAAAATTATTGCGGGTAGGGTAGGAATGCGAAAATGGATGACTATTCCTCATTCCTATCCAAAAATTGTCGGAAGACTAAAAACTCTTCCGCATTCCTACCCAATTTTTTACGGCTAGCCGTTCAGTAGGGTAGGATAGGAACTTGTGGCCGGTCAAAAATTTGAACATCCCAACCTGTATGAGCCATGATACTCGATCTCCGAATTTCTTTCTTGAAAGGGCAAGGTCTTCATCTCCTTTTTCAAAGTAATAGATGACTTTCAATGGGACAAGCTAATTTAGGGTTATGAAGTGGAGAGCAGACTTAGCTTGCTATTTATAATAAAATCTAATAGGCTCTCCCATTACGGGCCACAATTAGACTAATGTCTACACTTAACTGCCTCAACCACATCAATTAAAAGATGTACATAAATACATCAAAATAGATCACTTAATAAAATTGGGCTCATCTCATTGGATCATAAATTTAACCTATTTTTTATAATCTAAAATTAACTATCAATTAATGGCAGTCCAATATAGAAAAAATTTTGACAGTTTATTTATGGGATTTTGAAATAGGCATGTTTTCTTTTCCTCCACAAATCTTGCTTAAATCAAAATTTAACCATCAAGTCTGAAAAAGGCAAAGAAATGGTACAAGAGACATGAAAAATGGAGGAAAATCAAAAGGACAAAAGAGAAAGTCATAAGGAAACCAAAATCAAGCGTCTATATGCAAATCCTATAAAATATTTTCAAAGGATTGATATTATTAACATGTGTCAAAAGTGAAGCTGGTGGCAAGAGGAATTGCTTTAGAATGGTTATGCACGATTCATACGCTTATGTGTGAACATTAACTGTGGTCCAAGTGTCTAGACCATTTATCTAACACCTCCTACATGTGTTATTCAGTATAAGCTTTTCTCAACAACTCAACACACATTTAAGATGCTTTCAATCTTGTTTGCTTGAGAGTATTTTCCACCTTAATTTCATTCTTGAATCTACAACCCACAGAAAATACTAACAAAACATGAAGAAGAAATATACTTGATGTGTAACTATAGATTTTGTACTTCCGCTCTTCTTTGCTTTTTCCATGCCCCCCATGTCGAAGATTCTTGTAATTGTCAAGTTGCTCCTTGCATCAAACATATTTTAGATACTCTCTATTAAAATTCATGTTGGGGGTGAATGTTCATGTATAGCTTGGCAAGAAAAAGGTAAAGATTTCATATAAGATTGGTATAGGCTGAAGATTCTTGACTATTAGTTTACTTTTTTGTTTAAAAGAACAAGGAGACATGTCATAACTACTAATGGTAGGTTCAAATCCTACTTTAGATTATTCATATGTTAAAATTTTACTTAAGGACTTTTTGTTTTATATCTTTAAATTGGTACAACAGGTATTCAAGCCCATGTTTCGCTAAATCCTTAGTCCTTGTTGGCATAGCTATTAGCCGTAGTGCAAAGAGCTTCAACGATACTTACTTTTGTTTGAACTGGTTATATGGAATATTGATAAAAAAGAAGATTAATCCACTAAGGAAATTGAATAGAAAAATGTCACAACCACTTATCTTTAAATATGTTGGATTCATTCTGTTTAAAATTTGTAGAGTTTTATATGACGACATTTATGATGTTTTAGACTTAGATTTTATGCAAGTATCTACTAGGAAAATGTGTCTATATTGTCTTGTAGTTTCTATGACAAATATGTCAAAAAAAAAAAAAAAAATTTAGTGGTTAGCAAATTCATTGTGATCTCTTAATGCTTTTATTATTCTTGACAAGATAGTTCATTAGAACTACTGCCTTCAAAGTTCTAGAAGCCAGCCAAGTAATAAAGCATAATTAGATATGTGCATTTTCTTTGACAAGTAAATTGGTATATCCATATTATGCATACACAAACAAATGTCCTCTAATCATGTTTTGAGATAGTGATGGTCCATATGAATGCTATTTACTTGGAATGCAATGAGTTGGACCTTTTATCAAGTTCAAAGTTACATAGATTATATACTAGTTGGGCTTTTGTATCAAGTACTTTTTGGCAATTTAACTTGTAAATATTTGAGATGATGTCAAATTGTCATGTGAATGTATCTTATGTCCCCTTTTGTTCGATTGGATATAAATTGTGAATAAAAGTCTATTTTTGAAGGTTTACGTTCTAGATATTTATGAGTTTTTTTTATCATTGAGCAAGTTTTTTTTCCTGTTCTTTTGAATGTGAATGACGCATTAAGGAAGGTGATCAGAAATGTGGATGACACATTAAAGAAGGTGATTAGAAATGTGGTTTCATCGTGCATGTTTTATATGTGCAAAGACTGAATATAAAGGAACCAAAAGAAAGTGGTTTTGTCCAATTCTTTCCACTTACTTAGATATAAGATACTCAACATCTAATCTTATTCTTGCTTCTAAGAGTAAAATATCAATAATATTTTTGAGGAGTCCATTAATGTAGTTGCTCCAGACAATTATACAGGTAGTTCATGACTTCTACCATATTTCATTGATTAGTTGACAAGGAAAATGCATAAATTCATGGTTGATTAATAAGTTGCAAATGTGAAAGAGAACAGTACACATTTTTTTTTTTTGCAAAAAAAAACCAAAAAATTGATTTAGAAATAACATTTTATTTTACAATATTAGTTGCTTTCACTATAAAAAAAAATCGTTTGCATAAATATTATGTATGAACATTTGTTCTTGGTTTAATAATATGATATTAATCAAAAGAACATGTTGAGCACCTACATCACATTTATGGTATAATATAAGGGGTTGTTTGGTAACTGTTTTTATCTTGTGTTTTGTGTTTTTGTTTTTAATTTTTGTCAAAAATGAATACAAAAACATGTTTGGATACTATTTTTGTTTTTGTTTTGTATTAGTTGATTGGAAACAAGGACAAAAAATGGGAACAAAAAAAAGATGTTGCAAGAAACATCTCAGAACAGAAACACGCGATGATGGATTTAATGAGGTCTCAATTTCGATCTCTGTTAGCAACAAATACTACTATTTTTCGTTGGAATACATATATTGAGCCTTTTGCCATTTTTCATTTGGTCTCATTCTCTCAACCCAGACAAACCTCTCTGATCTGGATTCTCTATGGCGTGAACCCAGGTGAAGAAGAAGAAGACTGCTCCTCAGAGTTGTGTGGTCTTACGTTGTTTTCTCTCAACCTTCGACGAAGAAGAAGGCTCCTCGTTTCTCATTGATTGCTCATGTCTCAGATCTAATCCATTGAGCTCTGTCTCGCTGTGGAGATCTATGTATAATATGTATACAAAGATCTGTACATCACAGACCCCCATCGTATTTTTTTACATAGATATGTATTTTTTTTTCAACACAATATACATAAATCTGTGTCTTTTTTATGTTATTATTTTCGGGTTATGTGTGTGTTGGTTTTTGATAATCAAGAGTAAGGTGCTGAGTTGTCTAATAGAGGTTTGTCTTAACCCTTGCTGTAGTGGATTAGTTGTTGTGGCATTTTGTCCAAGCAGACGGTGCAGATGAGGGCTTCTGATTGTTCCAGATTTGATTCCAGACATGAGAAGGTTCTTGGTTCACATGATCGGAGAGGGCTCTGTTCTTGATTCAAATATTCTTTGCTTCTTTCTCATTCTTTGGAAGATGACAGTAGTTTTGTTCTTGATTTGTTGAATGGGTAGGTTTGTTTACCTTTCTCTCTTTTGTAATAATTTTTTATCAATAATAGAAAGTGTTGATTTGTTTAAAAATAAAATAAAATTTGGGAGTGGAATTAAATTGCCATTTGAGATTGAATTGAGAGTGGAATTGAATTATCATTTGGGGATTTAAGGATATAACTTGAAGTGGTTATTAAATATATTTTTTTATTTTTATTCTCATAATTTGGTAAACACAAATGACTCCCAAATATGTTTTCTGTTTCAGTTTTTATTACAAATACAAAAACAAAAATTGTCTCTACTTTTTTATTTTTTTGAAAACGCAAAAACAAAAACATTACCAAATAACTTCTAAGTTACAAAAAACTAAACAATTCAGGGAGTTGGGTATACAATTGAATATCACTTGTTTTCTAAAGAAGTGAACAATTGAATGATTCTTACATCTCCAAAGCACAATATCATACATTGAAAAAGATTGATGTATAACGCACGTGCATCAACTAGTTACATGTCAAAAGAGTATAAAATAAATCTATTACGTTATAGTCTGAGTGAAAATTACTTCTAAATAAGCCAATTCGATGAATGTTAGTTTTGATTCCTTTAATTAATCACTTCACTTTGTGAATATACCGTAGTAAAATGATATATATTTTTTTAAAACTAAAAAAAATTATAATTTTTTTTATTATTTTAAAAAATTATCAAAATATATAAATATTAAATTGGTTAAAAATAATAAAAATATTAAATATATTTTATTATAATTGAATCTTAATCTTACCTATATTTTACTTTTTTAAATTTTATCGTGCGTATCTAATCGTACTTATCCGTGGTTCGGAAAACCCCACCCTACCGTCACTCCCCTACACGTATCTCTCTCTCTCCTCTCACACAAATCAATCCAATGTTTCGGATGCTTCAATCTCGTCTCCCTTCTCAGTTCTCTCCCTAACGTTTACGTAACTCTCTCCCCCCCCCCCCCCCCCCCCCATTTATAGCTTTGGATCATACTTTGTTTGGTGTTCGTCAGGTTCGATTATTATCACTGCCCCGAAATTTCTACAGCGCTCATGGACGGTACTTTCTTTGCAATTCCCATACATTGTTTTCAGTACATAATCAATGTTTGGGATTTATCTTAATTTTTTTTTGTGTGAGATTTTATTGCACTTGTGAATTATGTGTGAAAATAATGTGAGTTCATGAATTCCGATGTTTATTTTCAGTTTGAATTCAATTATTGGTAACTGGGTTCAATCACTACATTGTGCATTTGGTACTTGGCCAGATGGGTCTCTGTTTTGGTTTGCTTCAGTCTCTGTTAATGTCACCCTAACAGTTGTTATAAATCCTTTTGTCAATCATTGTTTTTATTGTTTTCTGTTCTAGTTACTGGGTTCATATCCACATGGAAAACCAAACAGCCTAACTATTTTGTGATTTATGCACGAAGTTAATAAGTGATCTGATCCAGTATCGTATGAATTGTTACAGTGTCTTATGAAAATTAAACAAGCATATCATGTAACAATGTGTTTGTGTTTCTTCTACGTCTCTTTGCCCTTGTTATAAGGTCCTAAACATGTCGTTTGTCCCTCAAGTTTATGCAATTGTACTTTTTTGAAGAAATTTTGTGTTGGCCTACAGCTCAAGTACTCGCATAACTGAGATACTTCGAGGCAGTGTGGAAGTGTCATCACATAGATACACAGTTAATGGATTTAGGACTTTATGTACTGGCCAAGGTGCACCTGAATTTTCTATCTTATTGTTATTTGGTGCTCTGGTGTGGCCAGCATGTGCTATCATCAAGGGATTTTATTTGAAATTCTTAAGGGGTATACTATAACATCAAGAAGGGTTTTTATACCCAAAATAGTTGGGTTAATAAAGTATTTCTAAAAACTATGTCGTCCTCGAGCACAGTTGATCCTATGCATGAATCTGGTTGTTATCAACGTGTGTCTCATACTATAATTCTGAAAATGGTGATTCCCTGGCTTCATGGAAACAGTTACATTGCTTTATTTTGGTGTGCACTTGCTTAGAGCATCTCCAACAATGCTATATAAAATAGTTACTCAAAATATATTTAAATATTACATTATCTACTTTAACTAACCACTTTTTCAAATTCACTCTAACAACATTATCTATTTTAGCTAACCACTTCAACTAACTTTCAATAATAAAATTTAAAAAATAGTAATTCAACTATACATTATACAAATTTAATCAATTATAAGCTACAAGAGAGAACCCACCTGCCAAAAATTATTACTCTCAAACCAAATTTTTTCAAATTAAATCACAAAATTCAAAACAAATTATCAAGATTTTTTAGGGGTTTTGTTGAATTTTTTGAGGGTTTTACTGAAATTTTTGGAGGTTTTGTTGAATTTTTGAAGGGGTGTTATTGAATTTTTGGAGGGGGTTTTACATAGCTTGGCGATGAAGACGATGCCACCGCCTCTTCCAACACCACTTGCCACCGCCTCTCCCAACACCACCTGCCACCACTATCTTCTACACAAGGACATACATATCCAAACAACACATCACAAAACTGATTCATCAATTGAACAATTGGAGAAGAGGGTATGTGCAATGCTACATGGCCACAAGACTAATGAACATTGAACTTGTTAATCAGATCCTTCTCTCAATCAAATGTAAACTATGGAACAATCTATACCAGTGGAGCCTTCTGCGATGAAACTTCAGTCTGTGGTGTTGTGGAGAGGCGGTGGAGCCTTCTGCGATGAAGCCTTCTGTGCTGTGGAGCTTTAGTGAGAGAGAGAGAGAGAGGGCCAGCGAGGGAGAAGTGGCTAGTTAGATGTAATCCGTGAAAATGGGGTTATGAGAAATAGAGAGGGGAATAACTAGTCTCTTGGAGCCAGATTTTAGGGGGAAGCTATCTAAAATAGCTAAGCGGAGGGGTTTGCCTAGCTTGTTGGAGATGCTCTTAGCTAATGTTATTTTGCATATCTTGTTTTTTTTTTTTTTTTCTAACTTTGAAGAAAGAATGAAAAGAAAAGGGAAGAAACCAAATTTGAAATTGGTCATAGCCATAGAAATGGTTGATCATATTGCACATCACTGTTTGTTTGAGTTTTCAGATTTGTCAACTAAGAAGTGCGTACCATGCAACTCAGAGGATCTGAGGCCCATGACTAAAGAAGCAGCAAATGAGCTAATTCAAAAGGTTTGTATTTCAGTTTATGCTTGATGAATTGTTTTCATCTTACTATGAACTTCATTTCCCTATTTCATGTGTGTTAATAGATACCTGAATGGAATTTGGTAAATGAAGATGGTATGTTGAAGCTTCATCGATCATGGAAAGTCAAGAGTTTCACTAAAGGAATGGAGTTCTTTCAGGTTGTAGCTAATGTTGCAGAAGCAGAAGGTATCTCATCGACTTAAACATATCATAATTAACTTGCTGGCCCAGAAATTTGTGAGATTATTGCTGGGTGTGTATTATGATTTCTCGTTCTGGGGCTTGTATTTTGGGCGAGATCAGCATGCATAGATCGGGCCATTTGGGGTTTTAATTGCATCATCCTGCCTATTGTGTGCATTTGTCTGTTGGTGTTTTTTTGCTTAAATGCATGACTAGCTTAACTGTCTTGAGATAATGTGAGAAGGTCCTGGTTCATCCTTGTGACCTATTAGGACACAGATGTTGACGCCTTAAAGGGTGTTCATTCCATTGAAAGGGTTGTTGAATATCACGTTCTTTGATAACTAGCAGGCATGAAATGCTGATTAAATCCGTTAAAGGAAGCAATTTACATCTTATAAGTAGTGCTTGGAGTGGCATGGTCAACTAGATCTTGCAACTTAAATCTGATAAGCCTGCACCTTTCACTTTCCTTTGAGTTGTTAGTGTCTACCTTGATCCACAGTCGTGTGGGCTTCCACTTTTCCTTGTAGTGCTTCCGCTATATCAAATTATTTCTTTTAGCTGATGCAGCCACTAGTTTTTGGAGTTTGGCTAAATCGTTGACGTGTTTACTCAATCTTCAATTAATGTCATCTCTAGCTTCTCGTGATTGTGTTCTCTCTGTCTCTCTACTCTCACTTTTATTGTGTTGCTGCTTATGGTTATGAAATTAGCTTTCATCGTTAAAGGAGTGCCACTTGTTATTAATAGTGCTTGAAAAGTCATGCTCAGATTTGTATTGTACAATGGAGTTCTCTAGTAGGCTCATTCAGCAGCGATTTTCCGAGACAGGAGTGTTTGTGCTTGTTAACATTTGTTATTTTTCTGAAGAAACATGCTTCAAAATGTTGCCTTCTTTGCTCTTCTTTAGTACAGCTTAGAATATTTTTCCGTACTGTCGGAATTTTTCTACTTCATGGTCATATACAATTGTGCAACACACTGCCAAACCTTTCTTATCTATCAAAAACAAACACATTGCCAAACCCTTCTCTACTTCATTATACTCTAATGACGCTCTTATCAGACTATAGTGTCCTGATCAGTCCACTTTGGTTGACCCCTAACTTGAACTCACAGTCAGTTTTCTGTGCTTCCTTTCTTGGAGCTGTGGCCATGATGGACAGCCCCATGCCTGCTCTGTTTCTGGCTATAGGAATTGCTACCCACATTGCAGCATAGGAAACCAGAATAGAACTCATCGTCAGCAGAATGTACTTTAAGAAGGCCGGTGAGTTTTGAATATAATACTAATTATGCCATCACCCCATTCACTATGAAGTATGAGCTACACAAGCTTCCTTATTTTTCATATTAATTTTCAGTATACTTTTATATTTATCCGGGAGAGATACTTGTGTATTTAATGAAAAACTGGTACCCTTTGTTGTGCCCACTTATGCAGTTTACTCTTTTTTTTTTTTTTTGGGGGGGGAAAGGGAAGGGACCTTGTGGCCAAAAGGGCCATGCCCCCCTCTCTAATTTGAAAACACCCTTAGACCCTCTTTAAAATTTTAAATAATCTGATACCTCCCCTTGGATTCTCTAAAATTCTTTTATGTAGTGTATTACTGTATTTGTTCTAATGTATTCAACAGGCTTCATGTCCTGATTTTTAATACAAAATGGGGTATATTCTATCTTATAAGCGTTGTTCTGAAGATACTGATTTGAAGGAGTTTGATGAACAAAAAGGAAAATAAAGTATAGTTGCTGCAAGATCAGGTTATAAACATGGCTTATATCACCACTGACTCACAATTAATCTTTTATCATGTCAAACTAATATATTTTATTGTGATTTAGTAATAATCATTACATCCTGTCACAAGTGAGAGAATAGTGGATCACAATATTATCAGATATTAATTTTTACCACAAGAAATAAAAATTAGCTTTTGGCTTTTATGATCCAAACTAATTTTTACGTAGGTATCATATTAAAGTTGATCTTAATAAGCTCTATACAACTAACAATTTGACATTAACGATGACTATTTACTAAAAGTCCTCATTGTGTCACTACTTGGCCCCCTCAGATATAATCATGAAGGTGATTGGTTACAACCCAATAATATATTTATTTCAATCAATAAAGGCAAACATGTTAATTTTGACTCCTCCCTAGCTTACTTGATGCATGTGGTTTGCAATCAGTGTGTGGATCCTTGAGGATAAGTCTCAAGTTAGAAGTAGGCCAAGGACCTCTTGGCAAATGAATCTAATGAAGGGAAAGCAGCCAAAATATCAAAAAAGTAAGAAACTAAAAAGATGCAAACAGATAGACTTTATCATTCGAAAATTGGGCACTGTGGGAATAGACTAAATTTCAGGTACCTTTTTAATTGGCAATGTCTTGATGTGAGCTCATTATCCTAGTTGGACACAATTGTCAACACACACAATGCGTTTGCGTGTGTGTGCACAACTGCACATATTCCTTCTGAAATGTGTTACATAAATGTTTTGTTTTGATGAATTGCCAATGTGCACAATGCAGGTTATCATCCTGATCTTCATCTTGTTGAATGGAACAACGTGAAAATTGATATATGGACGCATGCTGTTGGTAAGGATTGCTTCTAATTTGAAAAATTCTGCGCAATCTTCAGTTCCTTCTTCATTCATGCTACTGAAAGTTTTGCACTAAATTTTTATGATGATATATAACAAGTTAATATTGGGTTGAACAAAGTATAATCAAAACTTGATTGACCTTGGATCATCCAACTACCATAGCAGACCACAGAGTTAGTGATGCGTCATGTATCCAGTGACTGAACTGATATGAAATCCTTTGGAAGCCAAAAATAAGGAATTCATGTCCTCAATAATCCCAAGTGAAAAGTCCTTGATATTGAGACGATCCTTGTTTGATGCCCATTTTAGGTAAGTATTCAGCTTGTGTAGCCTGGTGGCAAGGAAGTGGCTGTTGTGGTTGACCGGTAAAGAGCCTGTTTGGTGATTGATCTTCACCACCTACTATTTTGATATTTAGAAAAATTAAAAAAAAAATTAGTATTTTTTAGTGCGTAAGTTAATAAACTGCACTTTCTGGTAGAACCTGCCTCAATTACATCCTTGTTGCTCGAACGTGAAGCTTCTAGGAATCAGTTTAAAAAACATCCGAGATCATTCTTGTATACAATGCTCTGAAATGCACCATTTATATCTTTTCTCGCTTCTTGTTTGTTCGACTGCCAGCGAAATTAGCTGCACATGAAAATATAATTCAAAAGGATATCGTGCAGGTGGACTGACAGAAAACGATTTCATACTTGCTGCTAAGATCAACGGTCTCAAACTGCATCATCTTCTGAGTAGAAAAGCTGTTGAATGAAGCATGATCGGCCATCGGGAATTTTAAAGCAATACTCCATCTTCAAGGAATCGCAGCTTCTTGTATATTTTTTTTACAAGTTCTCTAGCAGGAGCATCTGAGGTGGGGGTTTAATCTTTCTTTTCCTTCTAGAACTCTATGAGTGTGTACGTAGAGCAACAACTATCCTAAAATTTTGGACTCATTTTATAAATATGTTCCTTCATGGATGTTTGACATCATTGCTATTAGGGGTGTCCATGGGTTGGATTATCCACGGGTCCCGTTACCCGACCCAAAAATAATAGGCCCAAAATCCGATCAATGTAATATTAAGTTATAAAAATATTCATTATTTTTAAATAAAGATGTATATAAAAAAGCCCGCCCATAGGCCTGCCCAATAGACTCATGGGTTGGGTTGCGGGTAGCCTACCCCTACCGGAAGCTCGGCTTAACCTGCCGATAATTCACTTAATTAAAGGCTTGAGCTTAGACTACCCAGGCCCAACCCAAAAAAATTTTAGAGCGCCTAGCCCGGCCCGACTCATGGACACCCTAATTGCTATTCAAAGAATTCCCATGCCTCCATATGCTAGTTGCTAGTTGCACAATGTACAGGACGAAGGTTTAAAAGAAAAGTTTACGAGTTCGTAACCAGATCTGGTCATTTTTTTTTTGACGATGAGAAACTTCTCAAATACAGAGTTACATTAAATCCATCCTTGCAGAGCAAACCTTAGATAATTGTAATCATTAGCCAACCACGGGTATTGGTTAAACTTGAGAATATGAAGGGTATACGTAATGCCATGTATCATAGGCCCAAGTTTGTCGGAACAGTTTTTTTTTTCCTGGACTAATGAGGGAGCAGTTCAATGTGAAAGAAAGCACCTGAAGCTTAGTGCTAGCCAGTGCTCTAAATTCTAGCTAGTTTTTTAGGTGTTGTTAAACATTCGTTATTAACAAAAAGACCCACGGCCCCTCCCTTCCTTCTTCAATGTGCAGCCGCAGGTGCAGGTTAGCAAGCAACGTGGTTCATAATTTTGCCTAGTTCCCAAGTCTTCCTGGAAGTTTGTTTTTTGGTCATTTAGAACCCGATATACCAAATTAAACATAATTATAAAAAAAGTACACAAAATAAAATATTTTTTAAAAAAATATTTAATTGAAATATAAAGATGTAAATGCCCATTTTGTAAAATTTTCTTTCTTAAAAACTGTAACAAAATATTTACCTTAAAAGCTGAAATTTAAGGTCATTTAATTCAAAATCTCTAATACACTTTGATTCATGCATATTTTTTTTTAGAAAGTAGTTTTATTTTCAAATTATATTTATGCATTAAATATTTCATAATTATATGAGAGAACTTTAATATTCTGTTTATTTTAGGATATATTACTTTGTTTGAATTTCAAAATTTGTTAATTATTTTTTTATATAATTTGAAATATAAAATTATATATACTGTAACAAAAACTTAACAAATTCATTTAGCAATAGTGTAACAATATTGTAACAAAGACAGTGTAACAATACATTGTAACAAAGACAGTGTAACAATACAATGTAACAAAAACAGTATTTAGTGATTTTGTGCATGTGATAATAAATTCAAAACAGAGATGAACTGTTTTGAATGAAATTATATGAAAATATATATTTGACAAAATATAATATTACAATATTTTGTGTAAATGTCTTATTACATTGTTATTGTTATACTGTTATTATTACACTATTATGAAATTTAGATATTAATATAATTTGAAAATAAAACCTCTTTTCAAAAACAAAATACGCACGAATCAAGGTGTATTAAATATAATTTGAAAACAAAATTACTTTCCAAAAAAAATACACATAAATCGGGGGATGACATAAAAATACGGAATATTAAAGTTTCTCATAAAACTATGAGATGTTTAATACACCACTTTCTAAAATACTATGCATGGATCATGAGAGGATATAAATATTAGAAAAAAAATAAAAATTTCAAATAATGTACTTGAAAATAAATAAGTATCAAAATTAAAAATTTTTTTATCCAATATTTTTTTTTCGGTGTATTTTTTTATAATTAACTCTAATTTGGTATATTCCTTTTTAATTTTTTCTTTTTTTTTTATAACAATTTGTACAGGGAGGGGTGCGAGGATTGAACTTACGAACAGTTACGGGACGATGACCATTGAATCAATTGCTAACCTCATTAACCTCTGGATCTTTGTGTTTTCGATTGGTTAAATGCAAGAACAATGCATGGCCCATTCATTCACCAATGAATGGCAATGCTATGGATACAAATCCTGGCACTATTCGCGGGGGTGGGTGTCTAAGGAAAAAAATATTCACGTAAGATAATAGTTAATTCATGTAAAAAAATGGGGTTCATTTCACTTATTTGTAAGAGGTTAAAAATTGAGAATACCTTCTATTGAAATTGAAAAATTGATGTATTTCTAAACTTGATTTCTCAGTCTTCCTTTACCTATAAAACAAACAAACTGTCCAAGATCGAAGTGTTTCGATCGAAGGCATTCCGATGCTTAAGTTAGTAAAGATTTTGAAACGAATGAAAGAAGACAAGAAGAGTCCAGCGTACCGTTCACCTTGGATTTCTCCGTTTTTTATAGATGATCATCCCTCTTTAGGGTTTTCGTGATTTTTGATTCAAGGTGACACACCTTCCTTCAATTTAGTTATTCGGTTTGAAAAGTTGCTGATATTTCTCCATTATTTTCTCTTGATATCTTTAATTTCTTAGATTCGTTTATCTGATTGTCTAAGTTATAGGCGAATCTTTATCTTTCCATCTATCTTTTGAAATATTTAGACATATCAGATGCCGAGCACACTCGATGTTTGCCGAACAGATTAAGGGACTTGGTTTGGCACAAACCGACCTCTTCAATCATCTTGAAGAACATTTTAAAGGACTCGGCTTGGTACAAGCCAAACTCTTTTCTTGCTTAGCTGAATTAGATTGATGAGCTCGTTTATACAGAGAACCGAACTCTTTCTTTCTATACCGAACTTATCGATCATCATGACTCGATTTATAGGGCTGTGTGAATAATTTTTCTGTCACGTGATCTGACTTGTCAATCTTACGTGAGTTTCATTTAATGTCATTACATGTATAATGATGAGGGCTAACCCCTTCATTTGCCCCTAGAAAACGTCTGACAGACGCTTTCTGTCTGTCAGCCATTTTCTTATCTTTTCATCATCATCACTTGTACCTTGTAACATGCCCTTTCATTTTGGTGGCACATTCAGGGCATTTAAATGTTACCCTTTAAAATTCGTCCTTCCTTATAAACCGTCTTTCTTCGTATTTTACTCACTTCGCTTTTTTGCTTCCAGACTCTCAGACTCTTATCCTTTCCTTTTTACGTTTTTCTTTATCTGCACTTCATCGTTTTCATGGCTCCTCTCATTCCTTCAGAAGTCCTTGCCTTCAAAACCAAGTACAACATTCTAGATGATGTCGAGGTTAGAGTTGTTGGGAAAGATGAGTCATTGATTGGCACAAGAGAGTCAATTCCCATTCCTACTCGTGCCATAATCGAGGGTGGCATTCGATTCCGTCTGGACCCCCTTTTGATCTAGGTGTTTTCTGCTGCGAAGCTCTGTCCCCTCCAATGCTGTCTAAACTTTTTCAGGATTGTCATGGAGTGTCCTCTTTAAACAAGATCCTAGGTTTGAGTCTTGGGCTGTGGGAGATCTTATACTGCTACATCATCAAAGCTGCTGGAGATAGCTATTACCCATCGGTAAGAAAGAAGGACCATTACTTTGTGACCCATCTCTTGGATTCCAACAAAGGGCATGAGAATGATATCAATTTTGTTTTTGGGAACTGGGAGTACGTTGCTAGTGTTGCTCCCTCCTACCATTGTCCATATGAAGAAGACATGTCAGGTATTTGATGTCTTTTACCCTTCTGTTTTAGCTTTGATTTTCTATTTTTCTGACTTGGGTTTTCTTCTGCACAGGTAAAACTGTGAAGGGAAGGATTTTTGAGTCCTCTGTCAAGATGGACCAAGTTTAAAAAGTTTGGAATTTCAATGAGAGTCTGTTCTGCCAAGCTGCCCACACCCTGCTCGGGTACACTCCAACTTACACTTACTTCATTGCTGTGCTGAACTGACCAAACGCTACTTTGGCTACAGATCGGGAGGCGATCCAGATTGCTTGGGCACAAACGCCTCGAGCCCAGAAGAAGTCTTCTCTTGCGGCGTCTGGATGCAGGACGGTAAAAAATTTCCTTGACTTGTTATCAACTGTCGAATCGACTCCTTCTATTGAGCTGACTCCAACTATTCCCAAGATCCCGACCTTCGTCCTTGAGGAACTTATTTTTGAGGTTCCATTCAAAACTTCTTTACTTGATAACACTGATCTGCCGACCAGTGGGCTAGTAGATACAATTTAGACCATCGAAACTTTAATCCCGGTTGCGTTAGACCCTTCTGATACTGTCCGATCCTCTTCTCCACAAGATGATTCGATTTTCAAACTCGCCGAAGATCCAGCTCCCAAGAAGAGAAAGATTACCGAGGTCAAAGCAAATCTCTCTCCCAAACTTGTGAATCTTCTTTTCAGACCAATCCTTAGGGCTAAAAAGAGAGAAATTACTGCAAAGGATTCTGCAATTGAGGATTTCAACGTTGCAGTAAGAGTTGCTCGGGAAGTGATTTTGCCTCGAGACTTGGCTATGAATGAGGCCTTTATTGACAATGAGGTGTCTCGTCAAGCCATTCAACATATGATTTTGATAAGTCTTGTTTCTGACATTCCTTTAAGCTTTTTTGGCTTTAGAAAGATTTTTCTAAGTCTTTTCCTTCTTTTTTAAGGGTTTGCAAAAGGTTCATGAGGTCGGAGCTCGGATTGTTCGTAAGGATAAAGCGATGAAGGACGTTATCCATGCCCGAGCTTCGGCCTTAGCCAAAAAAGAGAGTGTTGATGAAGAATATGAAAATCTCTATAAGAAAGTGAAGGTGTTGCAGTCTCAAAACCAAAGCCTAACTGAAGAGAACCAAAAGCCCCATGAAGAGGTCAAGAAGCTAAAGGAGTCCGAGCATGAAATCAATGTGGAGCTCACACAATCTCAGCTGGATTACTCCACCCTTCTTGAAGAATTTGATAAATTTAAGTCTAAGGCGACAGAGAAAGAGGATGCTGCATACAATGAAGGTATGAACAAAGCTGAGGATGACTTAGCTCT